ATCCTGCATCCTCCAGGCTCAGGGATGGATCCTGCATCCTCCAGGCTCAAGGATGGATCCTGCATCCTCCAGGCTCAGGGATGGATCCTGCATCCTCCAGGCTCAGGGATGGATCCTGCATCCTCCAGGCTCAGGGATGGATCCTGCATTCTCCAGGCTCAGGGATGGATCCTGCATTCCAGGCAAGTTTGGGGAGTGCAGGAGCGGGAGACAGGAAGGTCGGCTCGTGGGGCAGGATGAGCAGTGTTCAGGCAACCCCAGCAGTGGGCATTCCCCTTGTGCCACGCTGAGGCATGTTCCCATGAGGGAAACTCCTCAGGTAGCCTCTGGTTTGTCCAGGGCCTGCAGCCACGCTCCAGGAGCACCTACTGCTGCTCCACCTACAGACACCGACTGCTCTCCATTGCTGGGCTCCGTCCTGCCTGTAAGGATCTGTTAAAGCCCTGAACCACCCCCTTGCTTCTTGCTGACTCCCCTCCACCCTCTCTCCCCTCCCTACACACTGCTCATTGCCACCGGTAACTAACTGAAGAGTTAAGAAGCTCTCAAGGCTTTCCTCAGGGGTGACCATGTTTCTCCATTCACCATTGATGGACCCACTGAGTGCCAGCTGTGGGGTTCCTGCAGAGGCAGAGATGCCCCTGGGCAGAGCCCTGCTGCCGGGAGGGGTGTGCAGGGCAGAGCTGAGCACACAGCCCATGGGATGGGCTCTGGGAGCACTGAGAGGGGGCAGAGCTGGGCACAGAGCAGCAGCTCCTGGCAGGGACAGCTCCAGGCAGCAGAGCCATGGGCAAGTGCAGCCCCGCGCTGGGGAGGGTGCGTTCAGGCAGCTCTCTTGGGGTCTGGCACTGGAGGTGGCTGCTGGCCCTGCTCTCCTGGGCACAGTCCTTTGCTTCTCCCCATCAGAGCTCCATTATCTGCTCTTTGAAACCGTGCTCCCCCTCTTTCAGCACAGGACGGGTGTTTGTGGGGGTTCTTAAGATCATTTTGTGTGTGAAGGCATCTTACAGGCAGTGGAGGTTGGAGCACAGTGCAAATGGAAAATAACTGATGGACGCTGCAGCTCTCCAGGCTCCTCACTAAGCTTCAAATATCTGAGAACTTCTTCCTCTTTCAATACTCTTCTGATTTTTTGGTCATACAAAGAAAGATTTATACCCCTAAAAAAAAAACCCCAATAACCTCCTTAGTGTTATAGCAGTAAATAAATAACACAGTAAAAATTACTCCAAGGCCATGCTGAGCCTCTCTTGTGCAGCCCACACTCATCTGAGGCATGAGTACACGTAGCAAACTTTACAGTAAAGTTGGATTTAATCTGACATCCCTTGTTAACACCAGGGCTGGACAAAGCACTGCTTCAGAGATAAGTTGACTCCCATCCAACCTGGCCTTGAACCCTGCCAGGGATGGGGGCAGCCGCAGCTTTGTTGGGCACCCTCTCCCACCACCCCAAAGGGAACAACTTCCTCCAAATGCCCAAATTAAATCTCCCTTTTTATAGATTAAAGATATTCCCCCTTTCCTGTCACTGCGCACCCTTGCAGAAAGCCCCTCTCCAGATTTCTTTTAGGCCCTGCTTAGATACAGGTAGATTCTCAGATGTCTCCCTGGAACCTTCTCTTCTCCAGGCTGAACACCCATATCTGTCAGCGTGTCTCAATTGGAGACATGCTCCAGCCTTTAAAGCTTCTTTGTGGCCCTTCATAAGCCCATCACAGTAGGATCGTAAGAGAACAGAAGTTGGATGGCACCCCAGGAGGTCTCCAGTCCAACCCATCAGGAAGGGTGGCAGAGCAGGGAGGTCAAGGCTTGATTCAGTCCGAGTTGGAAAACCTCAAAGCCAGAGGCTGCACAGCCTCTGTGGGTGACCTGATGCAGCACTCGCCTGAGCCCATGGGAACAAGGTTTCCTCCTGTCCTGACTGAACCTCTCCTCTGTCACGATCCCCACTGCCTTTTGTCCTCCCACCAGGCACCATGGGGAGGAGCCTGGCTCTGTATTCTCCATGTCCTCTTTGACAGTACAGGCAGCCAGTCCCAGACACCTTTCCCTTCCCAAGATTTCAGGTCCCCATCTGAAGCCTGGATGGAGTATCCCAGAGCATCCCTTCCCTTGTTCTCCTGCCGTGCTCCTCCTCATACAGCCCACGATGCTGCTGTCCTCCCTTGCTCCTTTGCATTCAAGTGGTTTATACAGTATTGAACTGAATTCATGTGTACAGAAACGGCAAACACAAAGGAAACACAAGTGTTGTAAGCACAGGGCAAACGGGGAAAGAACTGATGGACGCTGCAGCTCTCCTGGCTCTGCACTAAGCTGCAAAAACCTGAGAACTCCCTCTTTCAATACTCTTCTGATTTTTGGTCATGCTAACAAGGATTTATACCCCCCAAAAAATCCTTAGGAGTGTTATAGGAGTAAATAAATAACGCGGTAAAAATGACTCTAAGGCCATGGTGAGCCTCTCTTGTGTAACCCAGACTAATCTGAGTCATGCATACACGTAGAGAACTTTACAGTAAGGTTGGATTTCATCTGACATCCCTTGTGAACATCAGATCAGGACAAATCACTGCTTCAGAGGTAAGTTGACTCCCTTCCAACCTGGCCTTGAGCACTGCCAGGGATGGGGCAGCCGCAGCTTCTCTGGGCACCCTGTGCCAGTGCCTCACCACACTAACAAGGAAGAAGTTACTCCAGATTCCCAAGCTAAATCTCCCTTTTTTCAGCTTCAAGCCATTCCCCCTTGTCCTGTCACTGCACAGCCTTGCAGAAAGCCCCTCTCCAGAGTTCTTGTAGGCCCTGGTTAGCTATGGGAAAATGCTAAGTTGTCTCCCTGGAGCCTTCTGCAGGCTGAACTGCCCCAGCTGTCTCAGCCTGTCCTCATCATAGATGTGTTCCAGCCCCCAGAGCATCTTTTAACCCTTCGTAAGCCATTCCTTGTACGATCATAAGTGAACAGAGGTTGGAAGGGATCCCAGGAGGTCTCAAGTCCAACCCATCAGGGTCAGAGCAAGTGGTTCTAGGCTTGATTCAGCCTAAGTTGGAAATCCCCAAAGAGAGACTGCACAGCCTCTCTGGGTGACCTGATGCAGCACTTGCCTGAGGCCATGGGAACAAGGTTTCCTCCTGTCCTGGCTGAACCTCTCCTCTGTCGCTATCCCCCGTTGCCATCAGTCCTCCCACCAGGCACCATAGTGAGGAGCCTGTCTTCTCCACGTGCTTCTTGCCAGTCCCAGACAGCCTTCTCTTCCAAAGATCTCAGGTCCCCATCAGCCTTCCCTTCCTTGGGCTGGACAAGATCAGCTCCTCCAGCCTCTGCCACAGGCACCCTGCTCCAGTCCCTGCCTGTCCTGAGGGCCCGTTGCCAAGCCCACTCCTGCTTGCCAGTAGCGTTCCTGAACTGGGGATCTGAAGCCTGGATGCAGCATTCCAGAGCATCCCTTATCTTGTTCTCCTGCCGTGCTCCTGCTCATACAGCCCACAGTGCTGCTCTCCTCCCTTGCTGCCAGGGCACACGCTGCCTCCTGTCCAGCTCCTGCCCACCCAGACCTTTCCCATGGGCTGCTCCCAGCCAGGCAGCCCCAGCCTGGGCCATTGCAGGGCAGTTCCCTGCGGGGGCAGAAACTGGCATTTGTCCTTCTGGGATTTCCTGCCTCTCCTGCTCCTGGAGACCCTTCCCTGGCCTTGGAGAATGTTCCAGTAGAACCTCAACTAAAGAAGGCACCCAGTTCCTCAGTACCAGCATCAGCGTCTTCTGTTCTTAAACCCCCTGCCCATTTCGCAGCAACCTTGCATTTCCTTCTTCAGCCTTGGTCTCTAACACAGCAATGGGAGCTTTTCTCCTTTCTCTTGACTCTTCTTGCAGCCCCCAGCTCCAGGTGAGCTCTGCCTTTCCCAAAGTCACACCTGCACAGCAACAGCAATGCGCATAAACCCCTTGTCTGTACCTCTGCTTGCAGTCACCCCCTGGCAGCTGCTTTTCTGGGCCTCTGACATAGTGCCCACAGCAGTCCTTGATGTGTTGTCACCCCATTGCCTCCCTGCTGGGCGGCCTCTCCAAGGTCCTGGAGTGCCCATGTCCCCTGTGGGGCTTCACAGACAGCCCTGCTCTGGGCTCTGCCAGGCTCTGGCCAGGAGAGAGGCCAGGCAGGGCTGGCCATTGCCCTGATCCAGGCACTGAGCCCAGCAGCAGGATGGAAATGGCCCCACAGCAAAGATCACCCGTAAACTGGGCTGAGCAGCCAGGGCTGGCGATGGCCAGAGAGGGATGGGCAATGGCTGGGTGGTGGCAATGGACCTGGGACAGCTTCCTGGTCTGCTCCTGCCGCCAAGGGCACAGCCCAGCCTCCTCTGTCCTGCACTTGCAGGTCTGAGATCCCTTCCGCAAGCCCTGGCTCTGCACCACAGCGCCCTGGTGTGAGCCCTCCCCATGCATGGCCATGCAGTCCGACACAGACACTGATATTGGTCACTCCCAGGTACTGCCCAGCTCAGCCCAGCTCCCTCCAAGCTCTCCCACCTCCCCTGCCCGCTCTGCAGCACCAATGCCCTCTCCCCAGCACAGCCCGGTCGGGGCTGGCCCCACAGCAGAGCCCACTGCAGGGTGCTCTGGGCAGTCACACACAGGCTCAGTGCGGGTGCAGGGCACAGCAGCTCCTGGGGGCAGAGAGGAGCCAGCCCCACAGAGGGGTGAACATGGAGGGCAAAAGGGGAAGGAGGCACCCGTGTCCCCTGCTCTCCTGCCCAGGACACCCGGAGAGCTCTGCAGCCCCCCCAGGCCATCCCATCTCCCCACTCCAGCACAACAGCTCCCCAGGAGCTCTTCCTGCTCCAGGCACAGAGCAGCCATCCCAGAGCTGGAGCAGCCAGAAAGCTGCTTTCATTCCCCTTCATTCCTGCCATGGCAGGACTTACCACAGAGAAGAAGCTGCTGCAGGATCATTTACTTTACTCAAGTAAAATGACAGCCCCCCATTGACACAGTCTGTGGTCACACAACACGAGTGGATACTTAAGTAGAGGAGATGAAAACTGACATTTCTACAAAGACAACATCACCAAAAATTGAAACAGGAAACCAGATGTAAAGCAGCAAAGACAGACTTGGCCTGTCATGACCTACACTGGGAGCCCATTGCAGAGGAAAGAAGGCAGTGGATGGCTGCTGAAACACATCCAGCCACCAGCTTCCTCACAGCATCCTTGAGCTCCTGGTTCCTCAGGCTGTAGATGAGGGGGTTCACTGCTGGAGGCACCACCGAGTACAGCACTGACAGCACCAGATCCAGGGATGGGGAGGAGATGGAGGGGGGCTTCAGGTAGGCGAAGGTACCAGTGCTGACAAGCAGGAAGAGCACGGCCAGGTGAGGGAGGCACGTGGAAAAGGCTTTGTGGCGTCCCTGCTCACAGGGGATCCTCAGCACAGCCCTGAAGATCTGCACATAGGACCCCACAATGAACACAAAACAGCCAAGTCCTAAAAAGCAACTTAGCAGAAGCAGCCCAGCTTCCCTGAGGTAGGAGTGTGAGCAGGAGAGCTTGAGGATCTGGGGGATCTCACAGAAGAACTGCTCCACAGCATTGCCTCGGCACAGGGGCAGTGAAAACGTATTGGCTGTGTGCAGGAGAGCAGTGAGAAACCCAGTGCCCCAGGCAGCTGCTGCCATGTGGACACAAGCTCTGCTGCCCAGGAGGGTCCCGTAGTGCAGGGGCTTGCAGATGGCCACGTAGCGGTCATAGGACATAATGGTGAGGAGAGAATACTCTGCTGAATATAAGAAGACAAAGAAAAAGGCCTGTGCAGCACAGCCTGTGTAGGAGATGGCCCTGGTGTTCCAGAGGGAATTGGCCATGGATTTGGGGACAGTGGTGCAGATGCAGCCCAGGTCCAGCAGGGAGAGGTTGAGGAGGAAGAAGTACATGGGGGTGTGGAGGTGCCGGTCGCAGGCTGTGCTGGTGATGATGAGGCCGTTGCCCAGGATTGCAGCCAGGGAGATGCCCAGGAAGAGCCAGAAGTGGCAGAGCTGCAGCTCCCGCGTGGCTGCGAAGGGCAGGAGGAGGAACTGGGTGATGGAGCTGCCGTTGGACATCTGCTGCCTCTGGGCATGGGGCACTGAAACAGGAGAAAAGGGCAGGGACAGGGTAGGGCAGGAGGGATGTCAGATACACAAGTTCCATTTACACACTTACGGCTCTGAGCACATCATAGGAGGAGAGGAGAGGCTCAGGGTCATCACCAGTGATGGCATTATACCGCTGGGCTTCCTTCATACACACAATCAGAAGAGCATTGCATCAGGCAAAAAGTCTGAGTGTTTTGCAGCTTAGTACATAGCCCAGAGAGCTCCAGTGTCCATCACTCCTTTCCCATTGGCCCTTTGCTTCCACTTGCAGTGCCTGTAAGATGCCTTCACACACAAACACAAATGCCCAGGCAATATCTGCCCTGTGCTGAGAGCCGGGGTGCCCAATGTCAAAGGGCAGATGACGGAGCTCTGATGAGGAGAAGCAAAGGACTGTGCCCAGCAGAGCAGGGCCAGCAGCCACCTCCAGTGCCAGACCCCAAGAGAGCTGCCTGAACGCACCCTCCCCAGCGCGGGGCTGCACCTTCCCCCCACTCCCTGCCCATGGCTCTGCTGCCTGGAGCTGTCCCTGCTGGGCTGCAGGGACCCTGCTGCAAGGGCAGCGCTGGGCACCCCTGCCTGCACACCCACATTCACAGCCTGCAGCCAGCCCCGGGACAAGGGACCTGCCTTGTCCTGGCCCTGCATGGTGCAGAGGGAAGCCCTGCTCTGCAGCACATCCTCCTCCTTACCTACACAGAGAGACAGAGAGGCTCCTGACAGATGCCATGCACTGTGCGAGGCAGCAGCTGGAGGAGATCCCTGCAGGAGCTGCAGCTGCATTGCCCTGCACCCAGAGCCTCACCATGCACAGGGCTGGGAAGGTTTCTCCTGCAGGGAGCTCTCAGCATCCTCCACTGCCCAGTGCCTTTAAGCTCTCTGAGGCTGGCAGCTCTGCCCTGGGGGCCTGCAGGCAGTGCCCCAGCCCTGCTCCTCAGCAGAGCTGTCTCTCTGCAGCACTGCCGCTTGCCAGCATCTATCTGCGTCCCAGGAGCCCGGCCCAGCTCAGCAGCAGAGGCCCAGCTCTGCCTCTGCCCCGCTGGGCTCCCCCCAGGGCTCCCTGGGGCTCCAGGGAACCCCATGGGAAACAGCCTGGAGCAGGCACTGATGCTCCCTCCTCAGCTGGCAGACACATTGCCTTCCTGCAGTGCCATTTCTCTGAGGAGAGACAGAGTTTGCTCTGAGCAAGAAGATCCTTTAGAATCATGGAACCATTGAGGTTGGAAAAGACCTAAATGTAGAATCAAACCCATTTAGGTTTTAAAAGTCCCTTAAGAACATCGAGTCCACCATTAACCTAACACTGGCAAGTCAGCACATCAGTTATATCTCTTAGAACATGTCTGTTACGTACCTCCAGGGATGGTGACACAACCACTTCTGCAGGCAGCCTCTTTCTTGTGTTTTAATTCCTAATACAGGAACACCTGATACAGGTATTAATACCTAATACAGGAATCAAGTACCTAATACAGGAATTAAAACCAGACCAGTCACTGGGGCCTGTACATCCCCACCACTCTCCATAGAAGAAGGGGGTTTTGCTGAGCAGGGCTCTTCCTGTGACCTCGTCAAACTGGCACTGTTGGTCCAAAAAAGAACTTTCATGTTCAAGTTGCCTCCTTCAAAGACTTTGAACCAACATCCTCTGAGTGGGAAAAGGGACTCTTGTCTTTGGTCCCAGCAGTAAAACAAACAGAGCACACTGATCAAGAACACTGATCAAGACCAAGCAGTACAAACCATCCATTCAATCCATTCAATTGACTGGACAGTATCCCAAAGAGTGGGATGGATCCCCTAAAAGGAACCCAAAGGCCCAGGTTGCAGTTGCACAAACCACACTCAGACAATGGCATGCCTACCTATTGGGAGTTGCAGAGGAACTGAGATTACCTGAAGGACAGAGTGAAGTTCCCAAACTACTGCAGATGCCTGTAAATGCAGAGCCATCAGCGTTACAACAACCTTTCAAACCTCACCAGGTTCAGGAGCAGCTCCCTTCACCCAGGGAACACCAACAGAGAATACCTGGTTCAGCGGTGCCTCAGCAAAAAGGATCACAGAATCCTAGAATGAACCAGGCTGGAAAAGCCCTTTAAGCTCATCCAGTCCAGCCCTTACCCCAGCACTGCCAGGGCCACCACTGCCCCATGGCACTGAGGCCTCGTCTCCACGCTGTGTGAACACTTGCAGGGACGGTGCCTGCAGCCCTGCCCTGGGCAGCCTGTTCCAATGCCTGAGCACCCTTTGGGGATGGATGTGCCCCTCATCTCCATCTGAGCCTCCCCTCTTTCCTCTTGTCCCATCCCTTGTTCCTTGGGAGCAGAGCCCAGCCCCTCCTGGCTCCATCCTCCTCTCAGGCACTTGGAGGCAGCCATCAGGTCCCCCCTGAGCCTTCTCTTCTCCATCTGAACCCCCCAGCTCCCTCAGCCCTTCCCCATCACCCCTGGGCTCCAGGCCCTGCTCCAGCTCCATTCCCTTCTCTGGCCCCGCTCCAGCCCCTCAAGGTCTCTCTTGCAGTGAGGGCCCCAGAACTGAACCCAGGATTCCAGGTGCAGCCTCACCAGTGCCCAGTGCAGGGGCACAACCACTGCCCTGGCCCTGCTGCCACACTTAACCCTAATGCTCATCCCATTGGCCACAGCCCATGGGTCCAGCCTGTCCAGATCCCTCTGCAGAGCTTCCTACCCTCCAGCAGATCTGTCGCAGACTCTATGTTGTCGCGATGCAGAGGGAATACAGCACAACCACTATGATTGATAGAAGTGATCCGTTTATTCTGCTTAAGCCTGGGGTTTATATAGAGCTAGGCTGTTATTCACACATATTCTTGGGAAACTTCTGTGGTTTTATTATTTGCAGGCACATCCCGTTTTCTAACCTCCTTATTCCTCCCTTCAAGATACCCGTTAACTACAAGATCAGTTTACCCCCTGCACAGCTGGTGTTTTTTACCGAGATGGGTTTCTTACTGACTTACAAAACTGGTCCCTGGCCAAGTTCAGCCATGGGAATGTAACCCTTGCCTGCCAACCACGCTTCCACAATTCCCCCTTTTCTTTCTCAAGCATATTTGTTACAATTTTCATAAGGCTTTGCTGAATACATTGAATAATACAAGGCAAACAAATCAAGATAAGCAAAAGTAAGATACACACAGGCAAAAAATGGCTTAAAATACTGCTTAGCCAGGATCCTAGTCCCAGTGATCTTAACCAGGAGGTGAGGTCCCATGAGTCACCTTCTTTTAATTTGTGCAAGTTGTCTTTGAGCTGTTGCAGCTCCTTGTGAATAGAGCTACTATGGCCTGAGAGATTCATGCAACACGTATGGCTCTCTGGTAACAGGGGAGGCCATCCTTCACATCAAGGTCTGGCATGGCATGTGTCCCCACCGCTCCATGCCTGCTGGGTTGCAGCCAGCAGTGGAGCTAAAGGTTCTTCTTGCTGGCAGGCACAGAGGCCAACCCAGTCTTGCCCTTGACTGTGGTAGCAGGCATTTGGTCAGCCTCAGTCCTTGCACCTTGTTGTCAATGCAGTTTCACCTGCTTCATCCAATAACAAGCTGTTATTATGGCAAGGCACACACAGATTTACACTAGCAGAGTAACTATTACAGGGTGCAGCAGCATGTTGAAGATGCTGATGCCAGCAAGGGACTAGCCAAGGAAATTTCTTACCAGTGGAATTCTCTCACCCTCTTAATTTGTTCCATTACCTGCTTTATAACACTACCATTGTATTAGAATATTTCCATCTTTTGTTTTAGCATTTTCTAGCAGCTACTACAAATTTGCATGCTCTAACATTTCTTTTACAAGTGACAAATCCATATAATACAAGGTGTAGTTTCTTATCAGCAAGTGGCTAGTAAATACAGGTGGTTTCATACACAGAATCAAAGCCTCTAACGATAACTACTTTACAGACACACATATTCAAGCTGTTACTTTTCAGTTGCTTCCAAATAATGTTTAGCAATCATTGGTTTTTCTCTTCCTCTATCTCATTCTGCTTGGGGTATTCACGTTCAGCTCCTGTAGCTGAAGCATCTCGTCTTCCTCCATTCATCTGTCCAGCTCATGGCAAGGCTTGACAAACTTTGCAGGCATTCGCCATGGACCTGTAGGCAGGAGGACACAAATACACCCCCTACTGCAGGTTATCAGCTCTTGAGAAGTAGATAGGTTCTGTATCTGCCACCCTGATGCTGCTTAGGTGACGGCTCGTAAGGCTTGTGATTGCACTACCCCTCTCTCTTTTTCAGTTAGCAGTTCTTGTTTCAACCCATCTATCTGTTCCTCCAAGTCTTGGATTCATCCTCAGGTTACTTTAAACATATTAAGCTTGGTTTTGTTTTATTTTGCTTTGTTATGTTTTTTCTCTCCTTGGCTCTGGTGTCCATCCTGGCCCTTCCACCGGTGGAGCACCGGGACCCGAATCGGAGGGCAGCTTCTTTTGAACATGGGGACTGAACTCTTATCAAATAACCCTTTTCTGTTTGGTTTTTTTTTTTTTCCAAAAGTCTCTCACCCTGCTTTGCACGGCTACAAACGCCAGCCTGCTCAGCAGCAGCTACAGCTGCCTGCCTGCTGCAGCAGCAACAGTAAATACCTGCCGGCAACCGCACTTTCGCATTAACTCTTTCTTGTCTGAAATGTTAAACTGCCACCCGTTAAAAACTTTTACATGAACCCAACAACAAAAAATACACAGAACACTGTCGCCCTTAACACACACACACACACACACACACACGTATGGGATCCCACAAGCACAGTCCACACAACTACAATATTTGAAGCACAAAATCCAGACAATCATTACTCCCACTGCACAATCCCACGTACAGAACGTGGCACAGGGACCCTGTGAAGACTAACAGGAAAACCAGCTCCAAGAAGCATCATCACAGTTCGAGGTGGCAGGCTTAGCCCTGGCGGGCGTCCCCACAAAGGCTCTGCCTCCCCCACATCGCATGAGGCTTGGGCTTTTATACTGACCAAAATGCACACTCATTCGACACAGGTGGCCAGCCTGTGTTGGAAGAAGCGGCCAGCAGTATTTATAAAGGTCTCCAAAGGTTGATAGAAACCTGGACATGCTTATTTTTACCAGCTTCTAGTACATGGGTATCAGAGAGAGAATGTATCAAAGGAGTTGTATATGGGGTCATAAGTCCACAGTCCATCACAGACCTTTCCACTGCAGGTCTTGATGCAGAACTTTTACTTTATTGTAAAAAAGGCTGCTCCCTTCACCTTAAGAAGGACTGAAAACATCCATAAAACGGGTGTCCTAAGATCAAATTTCAGTTCATCCAGTCACTGACAACGGGGGTGTCCTGGGGCAGTAATTTGTCACATCTAATACATTTATCTGCAAAACCAGTAACACTATTGGGGGGGGGCGGGCTGCTGAACTGATTGTCTTTACAGTACACTGTTTCTTTTTACAATGTCCCGTCCGTCCACAATTATAACATCCCATACCTTTAGTACCCCCGTGATCGCCCTAACCTTATTGTAAAAGGGGTTTAACAGCAGCAGAAAAGGCAGTAGCCTTGTAGCCAGCCTTTTCCTCTGCTGTGCTCACTGTAAATCATATCTGAAGGTGGGGAGTAAGCAACAATTGAGCTGTCATACGGATATCCTATGGTGCTAAGATATATGCAGAAAAAATATGTGTGATAATTGCCTGAGTATACGATGATTTTAACCCGTAGGATGTTACCGCTTGACGCGCCTCCTTTACTGCCTTTAAATCCAACGGCTCCCATTCCTTCCCCCCCTGTGGAGTGTTAAACACCGGGAATGCTGAGGGACCCATAGCCGAAAACTCCCCCATAACAATTGCATCTTTGATCATCCCACACCAACGTTTAGCAAGGTTATTACCGTAATCCCCTACCCTGTCCCCAGCACCCCCCTCCCACTCCCCTTTCTTTACTAGTGGATTGTA